TATATATAGTGTTTGAAATTAAAATGTATTAATAAAAGAATTGTATTGCTGTACATTGTATAAAATTGGTCTGGGCCAGATGTGACCCACATCTAGCACTTACATCTGGCCCAAATGGCTCAATGAATGACCCCACACACACACACACACACACACACATACACACACGGCCCAGGGCTGGTTTGCCAGAGGTGAAACAATATATGGGCCAGCTCTAGGCCAGTTGGTGTGTCCTCAGTTGGCCCACACCTGGCCCAGTTCTGGCCGCACATGGGCCACATCTGGCAAACCAGCACTGGGCCAGGGGGGCCCCGTCATTCATTGAGCCATGTGGGCCAGATGTAAGTGCCAGACATGGACCACATCTGGCCCAGACCAATTTTGCTATGTGGGTTCCGCTCTATTTTACACCCAGTCCTGAGAATCTCCTTTACTTTGTAACTCCTTTCATTGAATTAAAGTTATGATCCCAGGCCTTCTCTCACCTAACCTGGATAAATGTTTTTCTAATCACAACCGGTTCATGTTTGTTTGATCAAAAAAATGAGTGTCCGTTTTTGTTCTTCACTGGTTTTAGTTTTGAAGAACCAGACAAAACTGCAGATAAAAGGGTTTTACAATCCCTACATGAAGTCTTCATTTGATCATTTTTCTCTAATATTTGATAGAATAAGTCCTATGTGCCAGCAACGAAGTAATAGATGCCAGCAATTGACAAAACATGGAGCAATATGGCAGTGTGTGCATGATGTGTAGTCCTCACCAACACATGTCAAGTCAGTGAAGTGGTCTTCACCTTCTTCTGCATTCATCAGGTCGTGTTTACTCTTCTTCGTCCTTTTCAACACTACAAACACAAAGTGAAACAAACACAGACATCTTGCCTCTTTCCTGCAGATCATTTTGTTGTCTCATTCAAGGTTCCTTCTTTACATGTTAGTATATGTAAGTAAAAGTAGATTCATGATTTGTGCTTTTTTATTCATAAACAATAATTTTTCTTAGGCTGAAATATTTTTAAACATAGAAAGAGTCATTACATGTAAATACTTGGGAAAGTAAATTTATACTGTATGTATGTATGTATGTATATATAGATATATATAGTAGTTACTTGCTATTTGCAGTTCAACTTTCGTAGACTCGCTCTTTCGTGGTATTTCAAAGTAAGACTGGACATGACACCCAACTGGCTGATTGATGGATGAGCCGCACAATCAGCATTGGATTGTTTATTTAAAATAAATTATTTTAAACGATTTAGCACCTGTATGCAGCATACAGGTGCAAGGAGAAGCTCCCCCCTGCAGCCTGTCATGATCTCCGCTCTCTGCCACCTGTGGCTCTCTGCCACTCCAACATTTCTGTTCCAGCTACAGCAGCTTTGTGAAGGCTTAACCCTTTGCTGTCCAGCTGCACTGATTTTTTTGTCTTCCAACTTAAAACTCAATGTATGTAACGTAAAATTGTCATAATCACAAAATATAAGTGTCAAAGTTATTTGTAATTATCTTAGATATATGTATATACATATATATATATATATATAAATATATATATATATATATATATATGTATGTATGTATGTATGTATGTATATATACACACACACAAAAGTGTTTAATTGTGAAGAGTTTGGTCCTTACCAGAGTTGTTGTGTTTTCTTTTGTACCATGCTCCATCCAGGGACTTTTCTTCTGCACTTTTGTCTTCCTCAGCCAGCATCACCTCCTCTGCAAAACACATTACTGTACTTGATTTCACTTAATCCCAAACATATTCACATTAGTATAAAATAAAAGGATAGCCTTTATGACTAGAGCAGGATGTTGATTTATGTTTTGATGCTATCTGTTTCACTCTAACGGGAGAACCCATCTTGTTGTTCTCACACAGATTTCTAACACCGGCATAAAGTCCTGTCTCCATGATAACAAGTAGCCTACATCCTACAGTACATTAACATCCTTCACTGTCCTGTTCTTGACAAGTGGCCCTGACTGCAGGAAGTTTCTCAGTGAGCCTAACTTTCAGTAAAACTCTGAGTAACTACAGATCTCATGGACGTTCAGCAGCTTTTCTTTTACTATTGTGTTTTTAATTCGTGTATTTGATATCAGAGTCATGGTTCAATCCACATGCTGCCCTTTGGATCAAAGGAACTCACAAGGCATGTCCTGAGGCACTGTAGGTCATTTTGACCCATAGGAAAGCAATAAGGTTAAAACACATGCTTTTGTTTGAATCAATGTTTCTCTTATCTTCTCCCTCTCTCTTCAAAATTTAAGGTTGAAAAATGAGTCACTAAAGACCTCTGAGACATGTGATGATGGGTACGCTCTTCTGTTTCCCTCATTAATAATCTTTACATGCATGCTCTTAAAATATGGATCACATCTGGCAGTGTCTTTACAAACGTTGGTTCATTGTGGTACTGAAGTCTTTTTTTTGTTTCTTTCATTCAACCTTTATTTAGACAGGTTAGTCCCATTGAGCCTTGGGAAGTGCCGACAACTTGTGAGTATTTCAATGAATAAGAAAGTTAGATTTTAAAGTTTAAAGTCTTGGTTTCTTCAAAGTTAAAATACTGCTTAGACAAAGTGCAGAAGAGAAATGTGTCTGTCGTTCACCATGACATTAAACTCTCCATACATAATCATAAATACCCGAGCTCTTAAAAAATGTCCCCCCAACACTTGAACAGAAGAAAATGAACAAACTCTGGAAAAGAACAGAGTCTTCAGGCCACGATAACTCAAAGCAGAAACATCTGAGCTTGTCTACGTCATCTGTGAGAACGCTCTGCATGTTCTCCACCATGCTCCAACAAACTCTGGGTGGTTTGAACTCCTGGGACACTGATGCCAAACCAACAAGAGCCCCGAGGTACAAACATCTGACCACCTGTTCCTACAAGCTGCAAGGTCCAGGAGCTGTTCCAAGGCCTCTCATGAATTTGCAGAAGTCCAGCCTGAGAACGTCCAGCTTCAGTTGCTTCGGCCTGGCCAGAGACCATGCACGTTAGTGGGAGAAATCTCCTGACGGTCAGATCTCCAGATCCTTGCATGGCTCAGTGTCACGATTATTTAACATTTCCTTTAGATTAAACTTATTATTCCACAGTAATTTATTATTTATTATTTTGAACAAATCTTTTTATTCTGATTTTCTTTAAGTAGGGAGTCAAAGGTTTCACCCATCATTATTCACAGCAATCTAAATTATAAACTTTTACTTTAGTTTGTAAATTTACCACATGGTCACCAGTGACTCCCGCGACCCAAAAAGGAAGAAACAGACAAAGATAATGGATGGATGGTAATAAAAACATATCAAATTTCAGTCATGTGTATTCATTTTTGTGTGTTTTAGAGGGTCAAACTGTGAAACTCGACTGCAGTTATGAAATCTGAGCTAGCGAGCACGAACACAACAGAGGACAAAATATTCATATTTTTATTTGTGCATTGAAGTTGGTCGCTTTACTGTATTCATTTTTCAAATCAAAGTTACTGTGTGTGTGTGTGTGTTTGTGTATGTGTGTGTGTTATTGACCTGCTTTGCATATCCACTCCAGGTAACCTGTTAACTCTCTCTCAATCTGCTGCTGTCGGCGAAGCTTCAAGAATTCCTGCCTCTTCTCAACTCGCTCTCTTTCTTTGGCAAATTCCCTGCAAAAATCAAACATACAAACACAAACACCTGGTTACTAAATAAAAAAAACATTAAAATAAAAAAAAGCACAGATTTTGGTGGTCCTAGCTGTTGACAGGAACAGGCTGAGTCTATGCTCTCATCGTCTCTCTGTCCTCTCAAACCACAGACGGCCACTCTGAGCCCGTTTCTGCTGGACGTTATTTCTTTTCACTGTCATCCTCTGCTTGGGATTGGAGGGCTGCACTGAAGAGTCGCCACAAACTGCTGTTTCACTTCCACAAACTGTTTTGCTAACTGACATAATGTCCTATACTGAATAGGATTATAATTTATTAGAGTGTATTATAATTTATTATGATGTATAGTAATATCCTGATGCATGCTCAATAATCCAAGTAGAAAAATCCAAAAAAGTTAAATCTGGTCCTCTGGACATCCAAAAAACAAAACAAAGCAAAACAACAAAAATGTAGAAACGTTTCGTCTCTCATCCGAGAGACTTCCTCAGTCTGCGGTGCTGTATTCAGCTCAGTCTCTTAAATAGCACCTTCTCAGAGTGGATCAACCAGTTTTGCTGCTGACAACCAAAACCAGCTGATCACATGCTCAAGAAGGACCATCAGCCTAACAATGGATCATTAGCACACTGATGGCTGTTTACTATTCACAGAGGGCTGAGTGATACTAGCAATCACAGCATTGTAAGAGGGGGACAATTGAACACGTAGGCCTCCACCCCTGTTTAACAATGGACGGTTTCTTTTCACAAAGATGTCCTCCTTTACTCCTCTCTCAAACCATCGTTCCTCTCTATCCAGGATGTGCACATCTTCATCCCTGAAAGAGTGACCGCTGGCCTGGAGATGAGTGTAGACTGCAGAGTCCTGGCCTGATGATGTTGATCTTCTGTGCTGGGCCATCCTTTTGGCCAGTGGCTGTTTTGTTTCCCCGATGTAAGACTGATCACAGCCCTCCTGACACTGAACAGCATACACAGCATGGTCCTTCTTGAGCATGTGATCAGCTGGTTTTGGTTGACAGCAGCAAAACTGGTTGATCCACTCTGAGACGGTGCTATTTAAGAGACTGAGCTGAATACAGCACCTCAGACTGAGGAAGTCAGATGAGAGACGAAACGTTTCTACATTTTTTTGTTGTTTTGCTTTGATTTAGCTTTTTTAGATGTATAGTAATCATTCGCTGCTTCATGTTTCGACTTCTGCAAACTCGCTCTACTGCGGTTCATGTACGTACAGTCCAAAATATTGGACAAATTAATATTTTTTTACACACAATTGTGGACTGTGGACAATTGTATCACTGTACTCATGTGGCTGTGAAAAGTTAATGACAAAAGTAATAATTCAAACAGGCGCTGCCGTTTTGTAGTTTACTTTCATTCAGCCTCCTCTGTTCTGTAATTGCCACTCATAAGGACTACATTGCCCTTAATTCAATGCTGTAGTGCCTCCAGCTGCTGTTTTCTATCAAACAGTATTTTTGCAAAGTGAAGCTATGACTGCTGAACCAGCCTTTCAAATGTAAAAGTTAATTCATGTCACATGGAAAAGTTTTTAAAGAAAATTCAACTTTACAAAAATAAGATTCCAAAGAACGTGTAAATCATGTGAGGACATGTCTCTTTAAGAAACAGAGTGTTGTGCTTAGTAACCCGAGCGCTGATTGGCTGTTACCGTCTGTTTACCTGCTCTCTTTTTCAACTGGACTTCTTATGGGTCCTATCATTTATTTATTTATTTATTAACCTGTATTTAACCAGGCAAATCCCACTGAGATCACAGATCTCTTTTGTAAGGGAGGCCTGGGCCTGAAGGCAGACTAACATGCATGTCTTTAATCTGTGGGAGGAAACTGGAGTACCTGGAGAAATCCCACACAAGCACAAGAAGAACATGCAAACTGCAAACGGAAAGACCCCAGGTCCAACCGGGGATTGAACCCAAGACCTTCTTGCTATGAGGCAACAGTGCTAACCACTGAGCCGTTGTGCTGCCAAGAATGGTCTGTGTGTTCAAAAGTTTCTGGTGGCAAACCAAAACTGCAGTAGAAGATGCTGACGATAAAAGAGAAATTGGAACATGATGGTTCAACAAATTTTAAAAACAATTAGGGTTAAAAGTGTTTCAATGCACAGAGAGGCTGCGTCCGCTGACACAGCAAGAGCGGAGGATTTTGCTAACATGAGTTCAAAGATCTGGTCACCAAGTGGGTTTAGAGGTCTGAACAAGGTTTTAACATGGACGAAACGGGCCTGTTCTGGAGAAGGATGCCATATCACACTTTTATTATGAAGGACAAGGCCAAAGCTCCTGGTTTCATCTCAGCTTCATCACCTTCATCGTCATCACTGGACAGCTAATTCTTCATCTCTTCTTCCTCTTCATCTTCTCTGCTGAGTACCCATTAAAAATTTATATTTTTTTAAAGGTTTAAAAGTTTAGAAAATTGTTAGGAACATTGCAAGAGTTTGGAAAGAGTGTAAAACACCTTACTATAAATATAAATACTAAAATAAACTACTTCTTATTGTAACACTGACTGTAGACTCTTTGAGTTCAGTCTAGATCTGTGTTGGTCTTGTAACGTGTGTACAGTCCCTGAGGTGACCTTTGTTGTGAACTAGTGGAGAGGGACACGTCACCTCAGAGACATTACTTTGTCTGAAACTGTTAAAAAAATATTCATCCATTCTTTGGAAACAAACGTCATATTTTTCAAATATTCTTCGTCTCAGCTCACAAACATTCTATGTAGACAATAATGTAATAAAAAAAAACTATTGTGTAAACTCACTAACCCAAGGCCTTCTTATGAAACTGAGAGACCTTTGTTCTATAAAGACTTTGTATGAATTTGAAAGCTCCTGAGTTGATTTCATACAGACGGCTTCAGTATCTCTTGTAATGTATGGATGAAAGTTCTGTTACCATGAAGGTAACACCATAATAAGAACCCTTTTGTTTGTTCATCAACTTGATCTTCCTGTTCCAGGAACATATGGTCAACAGCGACCCCCTCTGTTAGTCAACTTGCATGTTTTAAGGTTTAGTCAAGATGTCATATTTTTGAACATTTATTCATGCAAATGTGTGTTTTAAGTAATCTTCTCTTAAGATTATACATTTGTCTTATTTTCTCTTTTAGAATGAAACTTTTAAGGCAGAGAAAACAAGGACTTTAGATCTAATTATATAAGTTTCTTTATGGAAAGAAAGGCGATCCACTAAGTTTCTGAACTTCCCTAAAACCTCCTTAAAAGATAATTCTGAACTATGATTGGTCAGAATTTAACAGCCACACCCCTTTTCTCATGGTTTAACCAATCCTCAGTCTGCTTGAACGAAGAGACTTTGAGAGTAAGAAAGAAGTCTCGGGAGAAAATGAGACAAAAAGAAAAAGATGGAGCACGAAGAGTTTCTAAATCTTAAAAGTTAAAAGTTTTATTTTACTTTCAAACAAGTTCTCAAGGAAAAGACAACAACAGCTGATGAGTTCCAGAACTCAGCAGAAACCAGCACCTGACTGTTCATTAGAACCAGTTTGGACTCACAACTGTTACCAGAACCAGGCTGAAACAACGTCAGTATCCTACTGAGAGCCAGTTTACTACAGAGCCAGTAGTAGAAGAAGGTGGACAATCTGCCTGTATGGCAAGCCCTTTTAACATAACATCGGATTCACCACGCTTACATTCCAGATATCTGAAAATGATTTATGACTAGACATATTAGTTATCTTTAATTATATTTTGACTAGTCAAAATACTTATTTGAGATATCTCTAATTACATTCTGACTAGTGTAAATGATGTCAGATTTACCATTGAGTTGTATGGAGGCTTCAATTCAAGATATCCATCCATCCATCCATTATCTTTACCCGCTTATTCCATTTTGGGTCACAGGGGTCGCTGGTGCCCATGTCCAGCAATCACTGTGCGAGGGGCGGGGTACACCCTGGACGGGTCGCAAGTCCATCACAGGGCCACATATACACAAATGAGACAAACAACCATACACACCTAGGGACAATTTAGAGTTACCAATTACCCTAACATGCATGTTTTTGGTCTGTGGGAAGAAACCGGAGTACCCCACGCATGCACGGAGAGAACATGCAAACTCCACCCAGAAGGTCCCTGGACCGGGATTTGAACCAAGGACCTGCTTGCTGAGAGGCAGCAGCTCTACCAGTTGCGCCACCGTGCTGCTCCAATTCAAGATATCTTAAACTGAATTTTGACTAGTCAAAAATACAGTTCTAGATATCTCTAAGTTAATTTTGACTAGTCATTATTTGCTATCTTGCTTTTAGTTCTGACTAGTCATATTTACAATTAAAGATATCTTAAATTACATCATTATTCAAGATATCTTAAATGTATTTTTAGATATCATAAATAAAGATTTGACTAGTGCAAATTAAATTGCAGATATCTTGATAGCAAATAACGACTAGGCAAAACTAACTTAAAGATATCTAGAACTGTACTTAAGACTAGTCAAAATTCCTTTTAAGATATCTCAAAATTAATTCAAGATATCTTGAATATTTTTTCATGTAGACGGTTTTTCTATTTAGGATATCTTAAATTAACATTTTGACTAGTCAGAATGATGTTCAAGATATCTAGAATAATTATTCTGACTAGTCAAAACGTCACAGATTTACGTAGCATTTTGGCAGAAAAATCATAAGGCATTGTAACCTTTTTATCTTATAATCTGCAATGTCAGGTCAGTCCAACACAACGCTCGTATTTCTAACAGGATTTTTAACACGGCAGCTCAGATTATTTATTGTATCTACAACAAGAAGACTTTTTTGCGACGTCTTTTTCATGACAACCGGAAACTGACACTTCCTGTTTTGTGAGTCTTTGCACTAAGGAGATATGTCTATGTTTTCAACATCTTTGCTTAATTTGCAACCTTTTCTTTCGCTGCTGAGGAGGAAATTGCAGTGGCGAATTCTCGAACTAATAAATGTGAAT